AAAGCCATGAGTTCCATGCTTTGCTTTCTCCTCCTCTGGAATTCCGCTGCTCTCCTTGGTATTGAAACTGCACTCCTTGGTAGGTGAACTTGGTCTTGGTGGGTTTCTTGTTGATCTTCTGGGGAAGGGCCTGTTGTAGTGATTCTCAAATGTCTTTGCCCCAGGCGGAGTTGCACCGCCCTTACCGGGGGCCGGGCTGAGTAATCCGCTCGGGTTTGCTTTCGGGAGCTTTTGTTCCCTGAGCGCTTTCCGTAGAGTTCCGGAGGGCGGGAATGAAGATGGCGGCCTCCCGGTCTCCGGCCCGGAGGAGCCGAGAGCCCGGGGCCCCACTCCTCAGTGCGCCCTCAGAGAACAGCGCCGATTTACTCCCGTCACCCTGGCCTCCGGCCGCGCTCCGAGCTGACCGAGCCTGCGACCGGTTCAAGGTAACCCCGAGCTTAGAGCTCACTCCTCGGCTCTGTCTCTGTAGCCGGCTTCCCCGTTCTAATACCTGTAAGCTCTGCGACACTCAGACGCCCCCGATCCTTCTGTGACCCTGAGGGACCTGAGGCCACGCCGACCCTGCGTGGGCTTCACCCCGGTTAAGCCTCTGGAGCGATGTCCCTCAGCGGAACAGACTTTTAAAAGTCCCGATTTTGTGCTCCGTTGCTCCGCCGCTTGCCGGGAGCCGCCCCTCCCCCCGCGGTCTATCTTCCCGTCGCTTTGGATTCACTTCTCCGCCAGTCCTACCTTTCAGAAAGTGGTTGATTTTCTGTTTCTAGAATTGCTGTTCTTCTTCTCTTCGATCTCCCGTTGGATTTGTAGGTATTTGCAATCTTTAGATAAGCTATCTAGCTGATCTCCCGCTACCTGAAGTAGTCTCAGCCTGCTACTTCTCCGCCATCTTGACTCCTCCCCCCTAAAACCTGTACATTTCTGTTACGACTTTTTCTTATTTAGAAGTGTGTATTTTAAAAATTTCTAGGCACAAGAAGGGCAGACACTGAGTTGGATCGTATTATTTTTGTTACTCATTTCTAATTATATTTAGGGAATGTGGTCTGCTTAATGCAGGTTTTCTGGTGCTTGTTGAGAACTGCTTTTTGGCCTATGACCTGGTATATTAATGTAAATATTCCATAGTTTCTTCAAAAGAATGTGGGTTCTCTAATTTGGGGGAGAAGGGTTGCACAGGTAATAACTTGTGAATACTGCTCAAATGTTTAATGTCCTTATTAACTTTTGGTCACTCTGATCAAATAACTGCCGTGAGGGTGTTCAGCCATCTATGGTTATTGTGAATTTGTTGATTTCTTCTTATAATTCTACCAGGATTTTCTATATTATTAAGCTATGTTATTGGCTGTGCATTAGTTTACAACATTTATTTTGGTATTTCTGGTAAATGGTTCATTTTATGGTTAGTAGCAACTGTTGTTATTCTCAAAAATGTTTTACAGAACTTAAGCAGATTTTGGTTAGCATTTTCTAGGCATAATTTTTTATTTTTAAAATCTCAGTTTTGTTGTTTTTTTCAGCCTTTTGCTGTAGTCTCATACTTTTTATGTGACTCTTATAAACAGCATACAATTGAATTTTTGATAGTTCTGCTCTGAAAAATCCTGTTCTATAATTGCAAGTTTAATACATTCATGCTTATTGTAATTAATGATATATTTGGGTTTCTTTTTCCCACTCAATTTTGTGTTTTTTAAAAACATGTATTGTGCTTTTATCTTTCTTTTTCTTTCCTCTTCTTTTTCTTCCTCTTCTAAACCTTTTCTGTCTTCCAGCAGACTGATAATATTTGAACAATCCCTCCCCATGCCTAGCACCAATACAGATCTGAAAGTAATCTGTTCATATTTTTTAGTTATTACCCTTACGTTGTTAACTTGAGAATTGGCTAAAAATTATTATAACTTAACAATAATGTTTCTCCACTCTCTTCTGGATGATAAAGGATCTTAGGAAGTTTCAAGTGAATTCTCCTATATTTCCCACCTTATATGTTAGGATTGTCCTGTTTTTGGGTTTTTACCTTATGCTTATACCCCTACATGTGTATTATTATTGTTTACACAGTTATCCTGATTTAGGTTTTTCTCCCATTTGCAATTTTATCTTCTCACATTACGTCTTGCAACCTGATTCTCCTTTCTGGATCTTGCCTCCTTCCTGAAGTTTATCTGTTAGTAGTACCTCCTAAGGTGTTTTATACATAGGAAGTGCCCAATAAATGTTTATTAAATAAACTATTTTAATCAGATGGACACAGTTTAAACTACAGCAGGTGTCTAGTTTGTGTATTGGGGTTATCAGTAGACCTTGCCTCATTTACCAGACAAACAGATAAGACACTTGAACATTGGGGATGGGAGCGCATTACGTGGTTTTAGTTAATACCATAAATCAAGAGTAGGGATAGAACCAAGGGCCAGAGCACTCTCCACTCTTCCTTAGTATGTTTCTCTAGAATTCTCTCTCTAATACTAGTGCCACTGTGTTCCAGTTTAAACTTCTGGCCTCCAGTTCCTTCCTCCGCACACTTGCCCCATCTTGGAAAGCAACATGGGAAAACAGCATCCTCCTACTGCAGAAGTACCTAATGGATAAGTGTGTAGGGCCAGGGTCAGATGACCTGGGATCTAATTCCCTCTCCAGCACTTATTAGGAAAGTTAACTGGACTCTCTTTGACTCAGTTACCTCATCTGTAAAATAAGGATGGTAAGTGTCTACAGCATCACTTTGTTCTGAGACTTGAATGAGTTAATAACATACATTAGAATGGTGCCAGTACCTGTAAGCACCCAACAAATGCTGACTCTGGTTATTGCCTGAGCCACTTCGTAGCTCCTCTGCCTCTTTTCTGACTCTGGATGCTGGGATTGAATATGATTGTTCAAATTTGGAGTTTCACTTAAGTTTGTGATGATAGAACATACAGACATAGGCAGACTATTAAGGGGTTTCATTTAAGATATGTATTCAGGTTTTTCTCTGCACTTTAAACAAAGCTGTCCCAAGCATCGTATCCTGTATAAAGCTATGTTCTCTTTTAAGATTAACTTTTGTGGGAGAATTCTCATTTTAGGTTCAACTTGGTTCCAAAGGTTGATTGATTGATTTGATAAATTCATATTATTCAGGGCCCACTAAGCAAATTGCTATAGACCCCAGACCATTTTTACTTATAATTTGAATTCATTGTCACAATGTGTTGAATCATATTTAACTTTTTTATTTTGTGAGTGGGGCATACACATTGTGGTCCGGGTTATACTGTACCTAACTACACGATTTCTTTGATCCTTTTAGTTTGTAAGGAATTCTTGAACCGATTCTATAATTCCTTGATAGCCAGAGGAGTCAACTTTTCCCTGGACACCATAGAAAAGGAATTGGTCAGCTTTTGCTTGGATGTCAAAGGAAAAGAAAACCGCTTGGTATGGTAAATTTTCCCTGTTCATTTTCCCCTTATGCTTGAAGAACTTGTTAATAGTTTCATTTCTCATCTTTGTCTTAATGTTCTCCTGTTCAAATGCTTGCCTCAAGCATGTTCATTGCAGATAGCAAGCAGAAATTGATCTTCCAGTGAAATGTAGTCTGATGTGTTTTCATTTAGAATATATCTGCATTCATTTTGCTTTCTGAATAGACAAGCAATTCCATGTTGCAAGTAAAGTTACACAGATTCCTAATGAGCATTTTCTGTCCTGGGTTAAGTGTGGGTAGACTCTCTATTTGTTACCAAGACTATTAGTCAAACCCGTCAAAACATTTTTATCAAGTCATTTCTACATAACTAATGAAGTATTTATGTTCTCTTATAATGGTGTTTCCTGGGTTTACACAGATGACTTTTCAATATAGTGTTTTAGTTCGCTACGGATAATTGCCAGCCAATTCATTCTGCCTAAAATTTCGATGTCCAGTTTGTCAGTTAAATCTGCATTGTAGACTGTTCACTGACACACTGTAAAAGTCTCAACATTCATTTGTGCCATGAAGTTTCATATTTTTAAGTGTAAATTACCTCAGCTAGGCAGCTGGAAAGACAGCATAGCATGATGGAGAAGGACATGGACTCTAGAGCCAAAATACTAGATTTTTAAATTCCATCTCTTCTGCTTACCAACTGGTGACCTTCGGTTGACTTGGGTGTAAAATGGGGATAATTACAGTACTTACTTCACAGGACTGTTGTGAGAATTCAGTGAGTTAAGACCTTTAAAGCCCGAGAGCAGTGCCTGGCACAGAGAAAACACTTAGCAAGTGTTGGCTCTTAATAGTCTTTGAGCATCTTGTGAAGTGTAGGGCGCTTCTAATTAACATGATCACGGGGATGGAACAATTTGTTTCCTGGTGTCTTAGTCAGCAGGAGTTAAAATTTAATAGCTGGGCCATGAAAATTAGGTCAACCTCTTTCTCACTTTTCCAAACTATATTAACTACTTTTTTTCATCACCCAGGACACTAAATTCCCTTTGTACTCCTTCAGTGCTATTATCTAGGTGCAACGAAGGATGCAGCCACGAAGATCCTCAGTGAAGTCGCTCGCCCAATGAGTGTGCATATGCCGGCGGCTAAGATTTGCGAGAAGCTCAAGAAGATGGACAGCCAGATCTGTGAACTGAAATATGGTATAATGGGGACACATGTATTTTTCCAATATGTCCAGAGCATTGCCAATTCTCTAAACTGAGGTCCCTGTTTCTAAAAAGTTGGTGTGAGAAGGGAAGAAAATCTCCATTCACCAGTAGTTTCCGGGGCTGCTGAATGGTGCCTCATACCATCTGAGCTCCTCGGGGGAAGAGAAATGAATACTGACACAATCAGCATTTGGTAAATCTGCCAACCCTGATAGCCACATTTAAACTCTTAAATCACCAAGGTAATGTCGACTATGTATGTCAAGGAAAAATTCCAAATGTAAAGGGAGCAGCCATTCATGGTGATTTAGGTCTTGGTGACCTATTAAGACAAAAGTTGGATCTACTCAAAGGCGATGTTGGGACTTTGAAGTTTTAAAGATGGACTATACCTTTTTTCCCTAGATTTGTCTACCATCCTGCCAGCTTTAAAATTTAGAAAATAGGTTATTCACATCAAGTCAGGTTTTGCTTGAAGTAAGCTTATTGAGGGTGCCTAAAATAAACAGTGAGGAAAGGGAGGAGCTGTCCTATTTAAAACATTATCCTTGGCCTTATGAATTTCACCGATATAGATCTATTCCTATATAGTACAGATGATTTGCATCTGGGCGAGCCTCTTGGGTAGACTGAAGAGGTGAGTGGAAAGCCTGGGGCATCCCTCCCTTAGCCTGTCCTTAATACCTGAGATTTTACCAGAAAAGACTCATTTCTTTTGCTTAAGTCATTGTTTTATGTTACAGACCCACTGTAGCATTATAAACTACTTAAGTAATTAGCACCCAACTCTGAATTACTTTAGTCTTATTTTCCAACATAGGTGTGTAATATGCCTATGCACCATAGTGACAAAGCTGGCTTTAAATAGGTTTAAAGTCAGAAGATACCAAAGACAAATCTATTTCTTAATTTGCCAAGGGCAGGCCCTAATCTCCAAGGTAGTGATTATGGGGAAAGCCATCTGTTTTTATTGGCTTCCAAGCAGTGAAGTAGAGGCAGGAATCATTGAGTTTATATAAACAATATTCATAAAAGGAACAAGCCTGTCTTGATTCTTTTATTTGACAGATGTATTTGGAATAACATCTGCTATGTACAAGGGATCCTACTTGGATCCTTGAATAATAGAAAAATTATTCAGATATTATTGAAAAGAAATGCAGAGTTACTAATGTTTTGGCAATGCTGGCCACTAGAGGCCCTTGGGGAGCCATGAACCAGTTTTAATTTTGGGACCAACGTTTTCCTTACAGTTTTTGGGTTACAGAGTTTTTCCTCTTTTAAAATTAAAGCCAGATGCCAAGTTCTCTAGAAAAACTCAAAGACACTACTGACACTTGCAAGAATGTGTTTTTTTTTTTTCCTTTAAGCATTTATCTCGAATAGACCAGCAGTTCTAAATTCTCCTTCCCTGCTTATGGTTGGCAGTAAAGTTGAGATTGAACAGGGTCTTCGACTGGTGGGATATTAATAATTTGAGCTATCAAAGCATCTATGTTTAAGGTATTTTGTTAAGTCAGCCATGAAATTAACAAACAAGGTAAGTGTAGAGATGGTTTATGTTTTCAATTAGGAAGGTGTCATTTGGTTTTTGACCTGAAAGTATGTTTTTGCTAGATCTATTTTTTTTTTTAAAGGATGGAAATCACCATAAAAATTAAAGGGTCTCCTGAGCACAGGGTATAGCTGACTGTCCAAATAACAAAGTGTTTAAAATTTAACTTTTATTTTTTCCAGATGTATTAAGATATATTTGATATAAAACATTGTGTAAGTTTAAGGTGTATGACATGTTGGCTTGATACACTTATCTATTGCAATATTACCACCATTGTGTTGGTTAACACCTCCATCATGTTTTATGATTACCGTATCTTTTCTGTGATGAGAACATTTAAGACCTACTCTCATAGGAATATTCAAGTATATAATACAGTATTAACCATAACTACCACAGCGTACATTAAATTCCCAGAACTTGTTTTGTAACTGGAAGTTTGTACCCTTTTGCCAACATTTTCTTAATTTCTCTATCCACCAGCCCCTGATAACACCATCCTATGCTCTGTTTCTATTAGTTTGGCTTTTTTAGATTCCATGTATAAGTGATATCATACAGTATTTATCTTTCTCTGACTTATTTCACTTAGTCCATTCTTCTTGTTGCAAGTGGCAAGATTTCCTTTCTCATAGCTTAATAACATTCCATTGTGTGTGTATACATGTGTGTCACACACACACGTGCACACACACAAACATCACATCTTTGTCCATTCATCTGTTGATAGATACTTAGGTTGTTTTCATATCTTGCCTATTGTGAATAATGCTGCAATGAACATGGAAATGCAGGTATCTCTTTGATATCCTATTTTCATTTCCTTTCAATATATACCCAGAAGTGGGAATGCTAGATCATTTGGTAGTTCTACTTTTAATTTTTAAAAGAACTTCCATACTCTTTTCCATAGTGGCTGTAATAACTTACACTGCCAGCAAGAGTGATTTTTTTCTAAATTGTTTCCAACGCTTGTTATCTCTTAAGTTTTTGATGACACATTCTAAGAAATGTGAGGTGATACCTCATTGTAAGACTGTTTTGCATTTCCCTTATGATTAGTGAGGCTGAGTACCTTATCAAGGACCTGTTGGCCATTTGTATGTCATCTTTGTGAGGATATCTATTCAGTTCCTCTCCCTATATTTTTTAGTCAGATTGTTTGAGATATTTTTGCTGTTAGGTTGTATGAGTTCTTTATATATTTTGGATATCAACCTCTTATTAGATATATAAGTTTCAAATACTTTCTCACATCCCATAACTTGCCATTTATTTTGTTGATGGCTTCTGTGTTGTGAAGAAACTTTTTAGTTTGATATAGCCCCATTTATTGGTTTTTGTTTTTGTTGTGCTTTGGTGTCGTATCCAAAAAATCATTACCAGGACCAATGTCAAGGAGCCTTTCCCTTTGTCTTCTTCTTGAATTTTTATGATTTCAGGTTTTATGTTTAACTTTTAATCCATTTCAAGTTAATTTTCCTAAGCAATATAAGATAGGGGTCCAGTTTTATTTTTTCTGCATGTGGTTATCCAGTTTTCCAAACACCACTTATTGAAGAGACTGTTTTTTCCCCATTGTATATTCTGGGTACCTTTGTCAGATATTAGTTGACCTTATATGCAAGGGTTAATTTCTGGGCTTTTGATTCTACCCCATTAGTATATGTGTCTGTTTTTATGTCAGTACCACACTGTTTTATTATAGCTTTGTAGTACAGTTTGAAATCGGAAGTGCAATGCTTCCAGCTTTGTTCTTTCTGAGGATTGCTTTGGCTATTCAGGGTCTTTTTTTTTTTAAAGATTTTATTTATTTATTTGACAGACAGAGATCACAAGTAGGCAGAGAGGCAGGCAGAGAGAGAGGGGGAAGTAGGCTCCCCGCTGAGCAGAGAGCCCGATTCGGGGCTCGATCCCAGGACCCTGGGATCATGACCTGAGCTGAAGGCAGAGGCTTTAACCCACTGAGCCACCCAGGTGCCCCTCTATTCAGGGTCTTTAGTGGTTCCATACAAATTGGAGTTATTTTTTCTTTCTTTCTTTTTTTTTTTGGTGAAAATGCCATTGGAATTTTGATGGGGATTGCATTAAAGCTATAGATGGCTTTGGGTAGGGTGGGCATTTTAGCAGTATTAATCTTCCAGTCCATGAACACAGGATGTTTTTCCATTTGTGATCTCTTCAGTTTATTTCATCAAAGTCTGGTGGTTTTCAGTATATAGATCTTTCACCTCCTTGGTTACATTTATTCCTAAGTATAAAATCCAACTTTTAGATTTGAGCACACATACTGGAAGTTTTTGATAAGTCACTTGATGACCATGTTATGGTTGTTAAGAGACTTTTTTTTTTTAAGGACTTTATTTATTTATTTGACAGACAGAGATTACAAGTAGGCGGAGAAGCAGGGAGAGAGAGAGGAGGAAGCAGGCTCCCCATGGAGCAGAGAGCTTGATGTGGGGCTTGATCCCAGGACTCCAGGATCATGACCTGAGCTGAAGGCAGAGGCTTTAAACCACTGAGCAACCCAGGCGCCCGATAAGAGACTTTTAAATGCTGTGTTCTATCATTCAGGGGAAAAAAGGAAAGGGCTCCCCAAGAGAAATCAAGCTGCAAAAGTCCTGGGCTGCCACTAATTATTAAATAAGCAAACTTCAATGTTGTATCCATGTCCAAACACACAACTGGTCCTGGGGGTGGGGGAACGAAAAGAATTTCTCCTTTCTGACAGGGAAATTACAATTATGAGTATGTTATAGATGAGCTTTGTTTGTTTGTTTTTCCTGTTTCTGGAGTTGATGATGGAGAAGTAGCTGCGTTCTTGACATTGTCTGCAGATAGTAAGTAGAAACAGTAGTCTTTCTAGAGGAGTTGGATGTTAATAACAAGTGTTATGGGCAAGAAGGTTAAGAGCCAGATTGGCTGGCACCAAAACACTAGCATTAGAGAAGTGGATATATCCCAAAGGACTACCAATGAATGCTGTGATGATTTTGTAATCCCAGTAGGGACAGAGAATCAGGTGAGTTCAGGCAGAGATCCCAAACAATTAAGGACCAATGAGAATGCTCTTAATTTCATTGACGTTTTTGGTGTCTTTACATTTGTTATTTAAAAACTCCATAGGGCCTTGTAATAGGTATGCCCATCTGTTTTAATGCAGACATGTGTTCTTACAGAACTCGAACCATTACTTTCTAGTTAATTACAATCTAGGGCTTTCAGTTGGCCACACTCAAGGCCATCCCAAGGCACTGCCATTTATCAATACTCTTCTCTGTATCTTAGGAGCAGCAATTAAGATGCAGTGTAGTCATTTTAGTCATTATGGTCTTGAGAAGCCATGGAGTGGTCACAAAATCCTGTAAAGCTACCCAGGCTCCTGTTTTGAAGCAAGTATAATTCCATGGAAAGCAAATTGAATAGAACACTAATGATCCCAATAGCTTTGTACATAACACATTTTTCTTAGGTATGTCTTGGTTTCCATAGAAATTGGAACTGTTCCCCACTTTGAAACATAAGGTAGTTGGCACCAAGATAAATAACACCACTGGCCTTTCTAAGTGTTTCACAGGGTTTTTTTGTTTGTTTTTGTTTTTTGTTTCTTTTAAATGGTGCTTTCCCTTTTTGTTGTTTAGAAAAGAAATTGGACCTGGCATCAGTGGACCTGTCAAAGATGAGAGTAGCAGAGCTGAAACAGATATTACACAGCTGGGGAGAGGAGTGCAGAGCCTGTGCGGAGAAAACCGACTACGTGAATCTCATCACTGAACTGGCACCCAAGTATGCAGCAGCCGACCCCAAAACAGAGCTCTGACCCTCCAATGCTGGTGCGCCATTAATGAAAGACACAGTGACTCTCCAGGAAAATGACTTGTTGGTTAAGAGTAACTGGGAGTTGCGCTGTATGTGGTCTCATTATTTTTGCTTTAAGAAAAAAACCAACCAAGAATTGATTACTTGGATTTACAATGAAAACTGCTGATATTCGTGTCTTACATTTGCAGTGTACCCAAACCTAACAGTGCCTTTCTCATAATTTTTGTAAGGATCACATATATTGTCTTAATCCATGTCCTTAAAATCAAGAAATGTGAACTACTGAGAAATTGATGGAGTAAGTCAATTCAAAGAAGGAAGACAGTGCTCAGAGGCCCCTCTCTGTGCACTAATTTTTAATTAAATATATTGATTTAGGAAAAAAGAGACAATGTTTTGTCTACCTAACTCCCACCTTCAATCCAAAAGAATAACACGGCATAATCAAAGGTTTTAAAAAGTAAACTTTGTACTTTCAACTGCAAATCACTCTATGTTCTGTGGCTCTGTTTGGCATCTGATCTGGGAGGGCAGGAGGCACTATTTGAAATTAGGATTTTCCCAAAGAAGGAATACCTATTTAAAACCTATTTATACCTACTTAAAACAGATCAAGAATCCACTTAAGGAGACCCTGTGTTTTAGCAAATTGTATCAGCGCTCACACTGTTGACTGAACTAAGCTCAAGGTGTTCTGTATTCCTCGCTATCACACATTAGACAAGAGTTTTTTTGTTTTGTTTTAAGATTTCATTTATTTATTTGACAGAGATCACAAGTAGACAGAGAGGCAGGCAGAGAGAGAGGAGGAAGCAGGCTCCACGCTGAGCAGAGAGCCCGATACGGGGCTCGATCCCAGGACCCTGAGATCATGACCCGAGCCGAAGGCAGAGGATTTAACCCACTGAGCCACCCAGGTGCCCCTAGACAAGCGTTTTTTGAAGATTAAAGCATGGTAAGAGCACCTGCAGGCAAGAACAAGCTCTATGGTTCTTAATGCTATTTTATCTGCCTTAAATTGTAGAATCATTCTTGGTTCCATTTTCTGGCCACATCAGGGTGAGAACCCCCACCCCCACAAGTGGCTGCCTCTGGTGGGGAGGCAGAGGTGGGAAAGACTTGCAGAGCAGCTCAAGGGGACTTTCTGGGGGGGATAGGAATGTCTTGTACCTTGATTAGGGTGGTGGTTACAGGGTTGGATAGGATTGTGAAACTCATCAGCAGTACAGTTAAGATTCAGTCATTTTTTAAATATACATTTTATTTAAAATACTGCTATAGAAAACTTATTTGGAAATTAACTGAACTTCATTGATTCAAAACATCTTGTTTATGTAGAGAATTACATTTGCTGATTGGGAGTCCTTTTGGGGAATGGAGGAGAAAATTTCCAGATTGAACGTGTATGCTGAAAGTACAATTTTCACATTTAAATACTATGGAGGTAAATTAATTTTTAGTTAGGCAGTTGAGATGTTACCGAACTTATCAGAGAATTGGTGGTTAGTAACATAAAAATGAGAATAAAAAAGCTTCCATATAATAAATGACTGAAAGGATTATTGTTTCTGGATTTGAGAAGCTTGATCATTGTGTGTAAAGCACTCTAGTTTATTACAAATTATATCTTTAGAAGTCCATATTTAGTTTAGTTGTTTATTTTTTATAACCTTTGTATTTGTTTTCTTTTAGTACATTTTGAACCTGTTGAGGAACTTAACATTTGAACATAGTATGTTTGATGTCTGATCTCAAAATCAGGTCAAATTTTCTCAGTGGTGTTGTTGTTTTTCCTCAGGATAGAAATCTAGGTCCTAAGAGCACTGCCCAGCAGTTCATTCAAATCCATGATATTTGGTTTGGATTTTCATAGAGCTTTCACTCTGTTAGTGCCACTGAAACTTTTTTAAAAATTTTTATTAACATACAATGTATTATTTGCCCCGGGGTACAGGTCTGAAAATCATCAGGCTTACATACTTCATAGCACTCACCATAGCACATACCCTCCCCCATGTCCATAACCCAACCATCCTCTCCCTCCCCCGCTCACCCCCCAGCAACCCTCAGTGCGTTTCATGAGATTAAGAATCTCTTGTGGTTTGTCTCCCTCCCGATCCCACCTTGTTTCATTTTTTCCTTCGCCACTGAAACTTTTAAAACCATACCCACAGGTCACCCGTGAATCTTGTTAAAGTTTGGATTTTGATTCAGGAGGCCTGGGTGGGGCCTGAGACTGCTTTTCTAGCAAAGCCCCTGAGTGAGGCCTGTGCTGCTCTTGCAGGTTCCACACCTGGAGTGGCAAGAGAGGGCCTGAGTCCTGGATCCTACAGTTGATTTATTTTCTCCAATTGTCGGTCTCAGGTTTTTGATAGAGCTGAATGTAACCGTAACAACAACAACAACAATAAAAACAAACAACAATAAACACACACGAGTTGCTTCTGTCATGTAAAAGAAGTCCAGGGATAGCCAGTCCAGAATAAATACAGCAGCTCCACAAAGTTATTAGGAACTGAGTTCTCATCTTTTTGCTTTACATCAGGGACTTGCTCCATTCTTACCTCATGGTCCAAGTTGACTCTGGAGCTCCTTATTGCAGAAGGGACAAGGCATGGAAAATAGAGCCCGCTGCTTTAGGGAAGCCTTTCCCCTTTCTCTTCTCCTTACCCGTCCCCCACACTCTGCTTACAGATTATCGATCAGAACTTAATCCCATGCCAAACCTAGCTGCAAGGGAGTTTGGGAAAGAACATCTTTTTGTTGAGTTCATTGCTGCCGTTATAAAATCAGGATTATTTATATATTTTTTTACTGAGGAAGAATGGAGAAGAAGTTTGTGGCCACAAGTCATCTCTGCCACACAAAGCCAATTTTTTATTCCCATGAATCTTAGTTATAATTCCTGGTTATTTTACCCTAAATAAGTCTTCTTCCTCCTTATTATTTGCTTCTTTTGTAAATGTAGGCAATTATTTCCTTTTTTTTTGGTTTGACAAGAAGTAGCTACTGTTTTCCTATTTTCTTTTAAGATTTTGTTTATTTGTTAGAGAGAGAGAGAGAGGGAACAGAGCAGTGGGAGAGGGAGAAGGAGAGTCCCCGCTGGGCAGGGAGGCTGATTCGGGGCTCAGTCCCAGGACCCTGGGATCATGACCTGAGCCAAAGGCAGATGCTTAACAACTGAGCCACCCACACGCCCCCTATTTTATTTTCATTGTAAATGCTTCCTCTCTCATTGTGTGTGTGTGCACGCATGCACATATGCAATTTTTGTTGTATTTTTACCCAAAATCCATGTGCACACAAAATTTACAATTTAGGCATTCTGACAGACATGAGAGAACTCTGGGCCAAACACCTACATTTAAACAGCAGCAGCTGGGGAAGACATTATTCCCGATCTATTTTATATTTCAAAAAGTCAAAGTGATGATGTTTTAATCTGGTGCCCAAATACACATGGGAGACTAGATATAACATTTAAAAGTTGTAGGTCCTTGAGTATGGATATTTGTCATCCACATTCCACTAAAGAGTGTTACATTTGGAACAAATTAGCTTGGCATATAGGACAAGAAAATATTTGATTATCAATCCTTAAAAAACAAGCAGAGCATTTTGTGATCCCAGAGGCTCCACCCGTGGGTTTGAGCTCTTAATAAGTGTTTTTTCTAAGCAGATAGCTGAGTTCTTACCTTCCAGACTCATCCAGAAGTAATGATTGCCAAGTGCCTATTCTTTCACGGTGTGTTTGAAATAGAATGATTCCACCAAATATGAAGCGGAAAAGGGGATGAGCAGTATATATTAAGGTTTTTGTTTGTTTGGGGGTTTCTTTTCACTGATAAAAATTTTCAGAATTGGGGATTGTGCAGGTATACCTGGTGCCGAGATTCTAAAACTCACCAAGATTTATTATTTTTTTTAAAGATTTTATTTATTTATTTGACAGAGAGAGATCACAAGTAGACAGAGAGGAAGGCAGAGAGAGAGAGAGAGAGGGAAGCAGGCTCCCTGCTGAGCAGAGACCCTGATGCGGGGCTCAATCCCAGGACCCTGAGATCATGACCAGAGCCGAAGGCAGCGGCTTAACCCACTGCGCCACCCAGGCGCCCCTCACCAGGATTTAAATGAAAACGATAATGTGTGAGACTGATAAGTTAAAAATTTAAATGTGAGAGTTCATAGAGGTAAGGTTGTTAGTCGTCACTGAAGTGGATCCATTTTAGGGTAGTATTTTTTAAAGCTTCTCAGGTGATTTCTTTGTGTGTGAGGCTGTCATAGTTTACATATAATCCTGGCAGTTCCTTACCAGCCGTGGTAGTTTCCTGGTGTGGAAAGCCCACCTTGTGGGCTCTTCCAAACTCTGGTGGCTGACCTTGCAAGCTAACATACATGGTCTGGCAAACTGTGCGTTTTCTGGGAATGTGTAGCTGCTTATTAAAATACTGTGGACTAGTTGCTTATACCGTGTGAGACATGACTTAACCTGCATTTAGAACAAAAGGACAAAAGAACACATAAAGATACATAACACAGGTCCACAATCCACTACCAAAACTCCTGGAGGTAGGTATTCTTGGAATTCACAATGTTTCAGATTTTGGAAAGACAGTGTGGTGCATACACTAAATATTTCATAATCACCTAAGGGCTTGGGGCAGCACCTTCTAACACTCTCTCTTAAATCCAGGTCAGGTTTGGTCACCAGAAGAAGCTGGATCAGGTTTTGCTTATCAGATGAGTTACAAAAAAAGAACCTTTTATTTTCACAGCACTTTGCATTTCTGAATCTTGGATGAGAGACTGTGGTACTGTAATTCTGGGGTGACTCCAATCTAGGCTTTAATCAATCATTAATTAAGACTCTGGGTCTTCTTTGATAAAACCTCTAGCTCCCATAGACTAGTCTCTCATAGACAGAACTTGTTCTCCTAGAAAGGAGTTGAGAAACACCTGAGAGTCTCAGAAAATTAGGACTCCGGGCCCCTCACTTCTTTCTTTTGGCCACACGCCTTTCTGGAGCATGGCACGGGGTCTGCATTAGATACCCATTAAGGAAATTTGCTCACCGTGTTGTCTTCCTTCTAAACAGGTGGTTCAGCTGTGGTTTCTCCTCCTCAGGTCATGAGAACCAAAAAGCCGAAAGGAGGAGCTGCTCTTCTTTCGGCAGCCCCCGCCCTCAAGCCTTCTCTCTCATCAGACTGAAGGTCTGCTCCGACTTCGGAAACAACTGTCTGCCATTCTCTCTTGCGTCAGTGTTTACAAATGGCTGCAGAAGACGTTGTTTACAGGGCTCTTGCTTTTTTCCTTTTGAACTTTTTAAAACCTATTTTGGAAAGAACAGATCAAATGTTGGAGCCTTAGTGACGGAGCAGCTATAGATACATTCCAAGGGATCTTGGGCTGTGCAGTTTCTAGCAGGCAGCAAACTTGCTCACCTGCTGGGTATTATCTAAAAATGACTATCCCAGGAA